AGCAGCAGGGCCCAGACAAGAACCAGAGGTGAGCTCCCATAGGCATCGCTATCCTGCTGGGCTGACCTCTGGCTATAGGAACCTGCCTTGTGTCAGAAAATTTGGCAGGGCCAGCTTCACAGCAGAGATGAAATGTGGAGGACCCAAATATGAGGAGTCACCCTAGATTGAGGCTAGCAAACCTCTGCAGCTTAGGTAAACATGTCAATCACAGTTTATCAGCCTTCTGTGGCTCCCATGGCCACAGTAGCATCCTGGTTCCTTAGCTCGGCTCTCTGTGAACTGTCCCAGGTCATGCCTGTAACTTTGTGAGAGGTAGCTGGAGAGAGATCATGACCATGGTCTCTCTAGCATGACAATGCTTGGGGACTCTTCTGTCTGAAGAGCCCCCATTCTAGGTCTTTCTTCTGGGGACTTGTACATTGCAGGCCTGACCCCATGACCTAGCACAAAGGATCAATGAACAAGAGAAAGAAGGAAGGAGTTGACTTCAGGCCTATGCTGGCCAAGAGCCTTCCCCCAGCCCTGCCTCTACCTCAGCAAGCTCAACCCTGGGTGGCTTCCTGAGGGCAAGAATTGGAGAGCAGAAGGAAAACACCTTTCAGAGACAAATGCTCCTCACAGGGCTCCATAGTGTTAAAAATGGAAAAATCCTAAATGACTCATAGAAGGAGACCATGTTGTATAAATCAGTGTGCAGAAAGGCTGTGTGATAGGGTCGTCCACAGCAGAGACCCTGATGCCGACAGGGAGGAGATCCGTAATTCAGGAAGATGAGATCATTCCGATTCTGGCATGTTGGATCTCCAAATGTTGATGTGACATTTTTTAATGCACTGCACCTCTACATATGCAAGTGTGATACCTTCCTGAATTCTCAGTTCTATTGATCTTTTTTTTTTTTTTTTTTGGAACCCGGGATTGAACTCAGGCCCTTGCACTTGCCTGGCAAGTGTTTATTCTACTAAGCCCTCTCCCCAGCCCCTGATCTTCTTTATTCTGATGCCCATTCCTATGACTTATAAAATATAAAAATGTTAAGATGATTTTCTTTTTATTCTGGTAAGACAATGCCATCCTCTTTTTTTTCAGAATTGGGGATTGAACTCAGGCCTTGCACTTGCCAGGGAAGTGCTTATTCCACTGAGCCATCTCCCCAGCCCCTGACAATGCCATCCTCTCCAGTCTTTCTTCAACTGGTTTTTTTCATAGATTTATTTGCCCATATAAATTTTGTTCCAATATTTTTAGCATTTTGGACTGGGTTTGGGATGATTTGGAGGAGTAGGGAAAGCTTTATAATTGTGAGTCATTCCATTATAATATTTTTGAAAATTAAAAAAATAGTGAATAGCAGTATGGGAACTGCTTATGCTATGAACTAAGGGGAAAATATGGTTCCTAACTATGCTACCATGTAATCATACCAGATCTCCCCCAGCAGACAACTAGAAGGAAATATAAACATGGAAACAAACAAATTCTTTTTTTTCAGAACCGGGGATTGAACTCAGATCCTTGCGTTTGCCAGTCAGGTGCTTATCCTACTGAGCCATCTCCCTGGCCCCTAACAAATTCTTTTCATTGTTCTATTTTCTAATTTTCCTACAAGAAGATATTTTTACATTATAAAGTAAAAATATACATTTAATATTTATTTAAATGAAGAATATTTGCTGCGTATACTTGTGTAAACCTGGGAAACTTAGTGAAAACTTGTCTCAGAGTAGAATAGAAATTTTAAAATGACTGAGGAGGTAGCTCAATGGCAGTGTGCTTGCCTAGCACATGCAAGGCCCTGGGTTCAGTCCCCATTACAAGGGTGGAAGGACATCGTCAAGAGAAGACAAGGTTGAGGCAGGACTCAAACATGGACATCAGGAAAGGTTTGAGGCCCAGAGATAAGAACCTCAGTGCAGAGGCTGTGCAGACCACTCATGGCTTCTCTCTGATGATTTCCACAGGAAGCATTGGGCCAGGCCAGAGCCCCCAGGCAGAGCTGAGCAGAAAAGGATGCTGAGAAGTTTCTCCTCACAGGGTCTGCTCTGGCCCACAGAGGTTCAGCTCACAAGACCAGGTCTGTGGAGTGGATAGGGCCCATATATGATGGGAAGTTCTCACAAATGTGCCCAGCCCCTGTCCAGCCTGGATATTGCTGACTGTCTAGGCTGAGAACCCTTTTGCCCACATGACATATGTCCTTCAGAGGGTGTCTGCTGAGCAAAGCTGAGAGCTGACATGGGCTGGGTGATGAGCTCAGAGGACAACCCAAGGCCATCACTACACAGGGCAAGCAACCAGGCCATTGGAGGCATGGGACCCCAGATGTCTGAGAAGCAGGAAATAGCCCATCAATACTGAGTTCTTCAATCCCCTCCAGAAAGTAGGCAGGCAACACCCAACTCTATCTCGGAGCCCCTCACAAATCATATACAAGATTTGGTGTTAGACGAACTTTGCTACTCCTTAAAGTGAAGGTGAGCTGTGCAGGCAGTGCCCATGCTCTGTGTGAGAGAATCCCCTAACCTGGGGCCCAGACCAGCCTCCTTGATGTGCAGAGGAGGAGAATGCAGAGGCTCTGTGAAGGGGAAGAACTTGCTCCCAGCCACACAGCAAGGAGGGATGCTGCCCGCACCACCCGCCTCTCAAAGTGGATGCAAGAATACAGAATTTCACCAACAAACCAACAGACTTTACCTCCAACACCATCCCACCCCATACAAAGGATAATGAGTCCATGTCAGCTGTCAGGGGCCATGGACGTGTCAGCGCTGGGAGACAAGATGGATGGGCTACCATTAATGAGTGAGGGAGTCTGGGCTGGGGGGCGGATGGCTCTAATGACCACTGGGCCTGGCCTCCCTGAAGACAGGTAGCCCAACCAGGCTGTTCTTTTGTGACCCAAAATGACTGTAGCAGGGAAGCCCCATTCTTCCCATCTTCAAGGCACACATGCCAGATGGGGATGTGCATCAGAGCAGACACAGGGCAAGGGTGGAATGGACAATGTCGTATTTCAAGGGAAGAGAAGGTCAGACAGGTGAAAATCTCTTGAGGCCTGGGTATAAGGCCAGAACCTTCCTTCCACATTCAGTGCCTGCCTTACTTTCAAAGCCAGCCATGCCCCATAGAATACCCAGGGCTGTCTCCTGAGGAACAGGGTACAGTCTGATTGAAAGCCTCAATAGATAGTGCCATGCTCACAAGGGAAGGGGAAAAGAGGACCCTGATGAGGATCTGGACCCCAGAAAATGGGGCTTCTAGTCCCTGCCTTCTCATTCCCAGGCTCATCTACCCCATCTGCCAGGCCCTTGGCTCCTGGCCCTGACAGCAAAGCAGACAAAGACTTGAAGGGAAGGAAAAGTTTGAGCCCTTAACCACAGCTAATAGACCTACACACATAGGAAACTAGATTAGAAGCTGCTAGAAAAGCCTTCATTTATGTCACCATGTCTACTCTGTCCCATCAGAGGTCCCTGCCCATGCTGCTCTGAGTCTGGGAAGGATAAGTGTCTATGTATTTGGGGTGAGTGCTGCAAGTAAGGTGGTATAGGAAGAGGGGGCAGACACAAGCTGCTCACCTGGAGGATCAGGGAGACCTATGGATCTTTGAATTGTGAGAAGAGATATTTGACAAGCAAGCAGCAGGGAGGGCAGCAAAAGAACAGTCCAGGTGCCTGTGATCTCCAGGGCCAGCTGTAGGGGACATGGGACAAGATGGAAAGCAGTGATCCAGATTCCGAAGGCCTTAGAGCTGCAGGCCAGCAGAGGGCTCTGGCTTGAGAAGGCCATAGTCAGCGCTGTGAAGAAGTGCAGCCTAACCTGGAGACCAGCTAAAGACCAGTCCCCTTTGGTGCCTCCCAGGGCTTGCCCATGTAGCCAAGATTAGCTTGCCTGGGCACTGAGAAGGTACAGGGCAGCTTGAGCTGATCTTACCCAGTGGGTCGCCAAGGCAGAAGACATACCCAGAGAGCCCAACAGCTCATGGAGAGCTCACTCCAGGCCCAAACCATCTCAGGGAGAAGTGTCTGCTGGATTCTCCTGGGTGATCACTGGTCAGCAAATACAGAATGGAACCAAAAGAACCAGAACATTCCTTTCCAAGCTTTGCCACAGAAGAAGCCCTGAGCTGAGACGCCGGTAGCCTTAATTCCAACGCCCAAACCTAACTGTGCTTATAGGTGAATTCCTCTGTTTCATGGCTCAGTCTCCCTATCGGTACTGCGAGAGTTCACCCCTCCTGACTTTGTCCCTGAATTCTCAAATGTGCATAGACTATTATTAAGCTCCAGGATCTCAGCATCTACATTATCCTTGGGCTCAACTGAATAGACATATTTGGAGTCCACGATGCAGATGTAAAACCAAAGCCAGGTAACTCCCTACCCACCCACCCAAGTGCCCTCATGGTAGAACCTGGATGAACATGCAGGCTTCCGTTCCCCAGTTCTATGCTCTCCTTCCCTGGAGAGGGGCCTGGCAGTTATCCAGGTTTTTTTGGAGATATTGTGGTTTTTGTTTTTTTTGTTTTGTTTTGTTTTTTGTTTTTTTTTGTTGTTGCTTTGAAACAAGGTCTCTCCACGCAGTTTCAGGCTGGCCTTGTACTCACTATGTAGCCCTGGCTGGCCACAAATTCACAGTGATGGGCTGGAGAGATGGCTCAGTGGTCTAAAGCACCTACTTAGAACAAGCTTGGCAAGGCATCAGGGACCGCGGTTCAATCCCCCAGCACAAAAAACATGCCAGCCAGCCCCGCCCCCTGGTGGGCTGAGCTGGCCACACACACACACACACACACACACACACACACACACACCTCTCTCTCTCTCTCTCTCTCTCTCTCTCTCTCTCTCTCTCTCTCAAATAAAAAAAAAATACAAATTCACAGTGATCTTTCTGCCTCAGCCTCCAGAGGCAAGAGTCACCATGCCTGGTGATGATCATTCAGTTCTGAAGGGTCTGAGGATCTCAGTGAAACTTACCGTTCTGAGCAGCCAGGCTCAGGTTGAGGTGGTGCCTTCTGCCTCTGCCCTGACCACATCGCCCTCAAGGAGCTGCCAAGAGACAGAAAGAAGCAGGGAAACATTAAACACAGTGGAAATATCACTTTTGATAAGATTGTCAACACTTCCCAACAGATGTAGCACTGGTCGTTAGACAGGAAATTTTCCAGAATCATTAAAGAGATCCTGGGGACCACCCAGTCTGTAGATAGCCGGCACGCTCACGGCATCATAGATGACACCAACAGTGATGTTGTGGAGTTCCTAGCTGGCTAAGAAGCGTAAGAAAATACTTCAGTTTAACAATAACCCACAACCGTCGGACCAACTATGAAAATATTTCAATAAAAAGATGATGTGATAAAAAAAAAAAATCCAGTTCTTGACTGTGTCTCTAGGTGGAGGGAGGAGGTAGGGCACCCTCCCTTCGCTCATTTCCTGCTCTTTGAACACCTGGCCTGGGTCCACGTCTTACTGGGCCTGGGTCTGCAGGGCTACTGGGACAACATCTCACCCGGGACTGGAAGCTGGTGGGAGTGGGAGGGGCTGAGTCTGGGGGCACCTGAGGCAGCGGGTGAACTCTGAGGATCACGTTTACAAACACACTGCGGGCCAGGGAGAAACATTAATTAAATATTCACAGCCCACAGAGCCTAGGGAGTCGTGACAAGGACATGATCACAGCTCAGTGGGGAACAGTGCTGCTGGAATGTGGGGCGGCCATCGGTCTCCATCAGCCACCCGCAGGTCTTATTAGGATGATTCATTTCCGAGTTATCAGCACTAAAGCAATCACTGTCATGGGTCGGGAAAACCCTCTTCATCACTCAACCCCAGGCCAGGCAGCCTCAGGAGGCATGAAAACTGAGTTTGTCACAGGTTGGGTAGCAGCAGGGGACAGCAGGGGATGCAAGCCATCATCCCAGGTCCCTTTCTGAGCAGGGAATTGGTCTGATGACTCATCCTGGCTGTGGCCTGAGACTTGGGCCCTCAGGTGGAGCTCTTGGGGCTCAGCCAGCTGCCTCATCGATCCGAAGAAGAGAATGGGTTCCCCTGGACATCTGGGAGGCCAGCCAGCTGTCCTGCAGCTCAGCCTCCTGCCAGAGCCTGAAGGCCTCCGTGGACCACTGGCCCCACATCCGTCAATCTTGATAAGGAGGCCCTCAGGGAGCTTGGGGCTACTCCAGCCACTGCAGCCTTGTCCTGGAGATGCCTGGCTTGGGATGAGGGGAAGGAGAGGGAGGGCTCTGTGCTCTCCCTGAAAAGCCATTAATCCCGTCGTGATGATTAAGCACCCGTGAAGAGTGTATTGTGCTGCGTCCACACGCACGTGCCACAAGGGGCAGAGAGGTGATTGATCAGGGATGAATGCAAAGCCCCCTCTTTATGGACTTTCAAAGGCACCATTTGGCATCCTGAGCAGTGATCGATGTGAAGCAGCTGACCCCCCTGTGGCCACCTCTAGGCAGCAGGTGGACAGACCAGACTGTCATGGACAGAGTCCCCTTGGGGGGTACTGGGGGCTCCCCTGCCAGGATCAGGGTACCTACCACTGCGGGCCCCTTCTGCTTGGGGCTGCTGTTTCCCAGTGCCGGGCTGTTGGCCATCAATTTACCTCTCCTCTGCACTGAAAGGGAAACTGGAACAGTTACCGTGTTTTCTGATAAATTATAACCATAGCTCCCCCAGCCTTACAGCCTGGAAGAGCCTGGCACTCATATAATTCAGGACTAATAGAAGCTAAGGTTGTCATTTTGAGAGCAGGCATTCATCCAGAAAACCTTTATGGAGAGCTCGCCAGGTGCCCATTCCCGCACTGAGTCTTAAAGATGGAGACACAAATCAGACAAAGTCTCAGCCTACAGAACATACCCATAGACCAGAGCACCATGAAAGGGAGAACAAGGTAGCTTGGCAGAAAGAAGCTGGACACTGGGACCACTCACCATCCTACTTGGACACTGGGACCACTCACCACTCTGCCTCCTCATTCCACCTAGAGATGCAGTCAAGAACTGGATGATTTTTTTAAAATCAGATCATCTTTTTATTGAAATATTATTTTAGTTGGTCTGATGGTTGTGGGTTCTCAGCTTATCTGAGTTAGTTCCTGCATCTGAAAAGCAGCTTTGAGGACATTACCTTCCTGAATGGTGGCTTGTCACTAAACAGTGAGGTAGCATCTAGAAGGCTCAGTGAATAAAGCATTTCCTCCGCTTGCTCCTACCCATTCAGTGACAAACCACAGAGGGTTGTGCTGCTCCAGGCTGAAGCTCCATGGAGTAGGTGCTCTTAAGGGGTTCATTTGGGCCGGGGAGATGGCTCAGTGGAATAAGCGCTTCCCTGGCAAGCACAAGGACCTGAGTTCAATCCCCGGTTCCACCAAAAAAGGGGGTTGATTCAAGGAGCCTAGTTAGAAGAACAGGGAGTTGGGAGTGGAATTCACTAGGAAAGGCAGAGGGACACAGAAGAACTGTGGGCAGAGGGTGGGGAAGGAAAGACCTGGGAGGAAGGAGCCTGCCACACATCAGCCACACAGACCTCTGAGATGAACAAACCGATGAAACAGAAATGGAGTGGAACTGGGAATGGTCTGCTACCATGGCTCTGCCTGGGGACAAGCTGAGGGTGCCACAGGGCTGTACTCAGGAAGAGGCAGCAGAGGGAACTCTGGGTGGAGAGGAGAGGTCGGCAGATGCTCGGATAGCCAACTTGACCAGAGCAAGGATGCACGGTGGTCCAGAATGGGCCATCCAAACAACCATACTCGGAGATACAGAATCCCGGGCAGAGATCTGTGCCATGTGCAGGGACACCCAGAGGTCACTCCAGGACATGCAGACATAACACAGGGAACTCGAGGCATGCAGTGCACAGAGGTTGACAGGATGTGTGCCCAGTCGGAGACACGGGAGAGATCTGCAGTGGATGCACAGGTGGTATCCAGCGCAGTGCTCCAAGTGAATGCATTCAGAGCCTGCTTCCCTAGTTCTCAGACACACACAGGAAGCATATGTGTGGAGAGTATCACAAGAGCGTGCACGTACAGACAGATTTATGCTGGACACAGAGCAGCCAGCTTGTCCCACTCTGCTCAACACTTTCTCCTTTCGTCACTGCCGAGCCACATCCTGAATTCTAGCAGGGAATTTGTGAACCTGTGTGTCCGTACAAACTGCACACTTGCATTCAGGTAGAGAGTACACAGTTATATGGACATTCCTGGGCCTGTGAGGATCACCCTTACCAGACTAGGAACATCTGCCCAACACGGCACGGCTCTAACAACATATTGCGCATGCCTTATTTCCTATGATCCTCCCAGACCATCTGAGGTTAATGGGTATCTGTATCACCCCTATCACAGAGGTGGAGACAAGGTTCAACCAGTTTTATTTTGTTGTTCTTTTGTTTTTTGTCTTTTTGGAAGAGGGTTTCACTATGCCGGTCAGGCTGGCCTTAAACTCACTTTGTAGCCGAGGGTCATCTTGAACTTGCAGCAATCTTCCTGACTCAGCCTTTGGAATGCTGAAATTACAGGCATGTACCACCATGACTGGCGTTTTTCTTTTCTTCTCTTTTCTTTTCTTTTCTTTTTTCCAAGATAGGGTCTCACCATGCAGTTTCAAGCTAACCTTGAACTCACTATGCAGCGGTGGCTGAGTCTTGGGCCTGCAGGTGGAGCTCTTGGGCTCAGTCAAATGTCTCATCCATCCGAAGAAGAGAATGAGTTCCCCTGGACATCTGGGAGGCCAGGCAGCTGTCCTGCAGCTCAGCCTCCAGTAAAAGCATGGTCTCTGTAGACCACTGGCCTCACAGGAATCCTCCTGCCTCAGCCTTCTGAGTCCTGGGATTGCAGTTGTGAGCCACCATGCCCAGTGGTAATCGTCCAGTTATTTAGTGTGTTTCTAGGTGTGGTGAGGCAGTGGGGCACCTTCCTTTTGCTCTTTTCCTACTGCCGGGCCCACATAGCCAGTTAACGAGCTGAGTCTCTAACCTTGGTCCCCAGAACTCCATGTGCTTGGCCTTACACTCCGTCACCCTTTACCCTCTCAACTACTTAGTGGTATTATCGATGAAGGTAAATGGAAAGCAACCTCATCCTTAAATTCAACATCTAAGCCTTAAAACCCACTGTGAATTACTGCCAACTAATGAATGACTGTAGCAAAGTGGGCCAGTTATCAAATGTGTACCCTAGAATACTTACCTGTGCTATGTTGGACCCTTGCTGAATTTCTTCTTCTTCTTCTTCTTCTTCTTCTTCTTCTTCTTCTTCTTCTTCTTCTTCTTCTTCTTCTTCTTCTTCTTCTTCTTCTTCTTC